ATTAATATAAATATTTATAATAAATATTTTAATTTAGAAAACAATTACAAAAAAATATTAGAGACAAAGTTTTTTTGTCTTGTTTTGTGCATCAAACAAATCTCTGTGTAGGAGATATTTTTAAAATATCAAATCAATTTATAAAGACTTTTAGTAAAGCTATTTGCCTTGTTACTTTTTTTAATAAGTCTACATATTTTTTAGCTAAATTATGTACAGAGCAACAAGAACTTTATGGAAAATATATTGCATTAATGATGCCAAATGATACGTATTAGAATAGTCATTATTATTGTTTTAAAAGTATTCTCAAAACCAAAATTGCTTTAAAGGTTTAAGTTTCAACAATTTGTTTGTAAATATTGTTAACAATATTTTTTTAATAATATAATATTTAATAATTTATTTTATAGACATTAGTTATTAAAAATTCTATAGAATCTAAAGTAATTCCACCTGAAATTTGTAATATGATTAATGATGAACAATGGTGGCATGACTTACAAAATTTAGAAACTTTAATTTATTCATTTTGTGCTATATTAAATAAACTTCAGAGAGATAGAGCTCAATTACACAATGTGTTGCATAGTTTTGGATATCTAATGAAAGTTATTAAACAACAAGAGACTTCTGACTTTTGAACAAAGATGATTGAAAAATTAGAATGATGCTGGAAACAATGAGAACAACCATTGTTATTAATATCCTTTTTACTTCATCCAGCATATAGATTAACAAAATTTAACAAAGATATTCTAACATTAAATTTAATTATATTGGGTAAATAGATGATTTATTATTATATGGCCTGGTTTAATGAAAAACCTTTATAAAGATTCTTTCTGAATTGAACGATTGATTTGATAAAAAATATTCTTTTGATGATGAAAGCTTCAATAATTTTGATAGAGATATTATAAAGTACTAGAAATTTGTTTTACAAGGTAGAGCAAGTAATTTAGGTAATATTGCATTACGTATTTATTCAATTTGTGTTAATTCAGCTTCAGTAGAAAGAATATTCTCCACTATGGGCTTTTTTCATACAAAACAGTAAAACAAATTAAAGGTAATAATTTAGATATTAATTTATAAAATTTCTTAGTCTAATTAATATAAAATAAGAATAGTTTTAACTTGAATTATTTGTATTTTTAGCCTTCAAAAGTATTAGCCATGTGTCAAATTCGAGCTAAAATTTATCAAGATGAAACAAATGCTAACATAGATTATGCCCGGGAATGTTTTTATTCTAATAGTATATTGAATAATCAGCTAGATGAAATGGAAATAGAGAACCTTGAAGAGGCAAGTTCTATACAAGATGACAAAAGAAATATGTTAATAGAAAATGATACTGAATTAGAAGAAGAATGGCATAAAATCGTTCAACATTGAATTGAATTGTTAGATGATGATGCTGATTTATATGAAATTGAAGAAGATGATAGCGATAATATTTTAAATAGTTTGTTAACTATCTTTGTAGAAAATCTTGACGATATTATTTGCCAACAAGTTAATGATTTAGAACATCCCGCAGAAGATAACTCAGCTAAATGGAATTTATATGATTTATTTGTTTCAGACATAGAAATTCCGGATTATTTTAATATGCTTTAAAGATTTTTTTGTTATTATCGCTTTTTTTTTTATATTATATATTATTATATATATATATTTATATTATCAATATACATTTTACATTATCGCTATGTATTTTTTTTTTTTTACATAATCGTTATACTTTTGTCTTTTTTATGCTTTTTTATAGTGTCGGTATATAAATCGGTATTCAAATCGGTATAAATCGGTATAAATAAATTTGAACCAGGTAAAATGTCTTGTCTTATGACTTGTCTTGAACCGGTTAAATAACCAAGGTTCAAAATTCCAAATAAAGACATTAACAACACTGCATGTAAGGTGGGGCGAAAACCCAGACAAAGATTGTTCTCAAGCAGCTCCCTCAATGAGATTTACTAGTGATCGAGAAGCTGCTCAACCTTTGATTGTTAGAAATTAATTGAATGATCTTTATAACAATTTTGCCAAAAATTCATTTGTGCAATATGCATAAAAAAAAAAAGATGATTGTTAAGTCCAAGTTTTTTTGATTGAAATGATTAAACGAAATTCATTTTTCAGCCAATCAGATCATATTATTAACCATAAAGGGTGATGCTTGCGAACAATTAACAGGAAAAAAAACAAACAAAATTTACTTTTCTGGGAAAAACCCGGTCCTCTTAAATACTATTAACAATTACTAATCTCAAATACTGCGTGATTACATCATAAAATCACATACAATAAATCATTACAATACATTAAATGACAAAATCATACGATAAAAATCACAACAATGCCAACGATCAATCACTATATACCCGAGATCGATTCGAAACAAAGTGCAGCTTTGATACTTTCGTTTTTGGGCAGCTAATAAAAATTTGCGATAACTACCAGAACAATCAATCTCAATAAAAATTTTATCTTAATTCTACACGTTTATAAAAATAAAATAAAAAAATTTGATCAAGTAGTCGTAAAAAGGATCTTCACATGGTACAGTTAATCAAACTGAATTTATGGATTTTTTTGTGCGGCAGTGTAACGTATTACAATACGATTTATTATAAAAGCCACACTCGATTTTTGCAAGTTACACGTCTTTCCCATGGCATCAAAAATATTTATGGGCGATATGCCCGAATTAATGGAAAGAATTCTTAATAATTTAAATAATGAAATTTATACATTACACTCATGCGCACTTGTGAACCGACATTGGTGTAAAATAACAATTCCTATTCTTTGGCGAAATCCATTTTCATTTGATAAAAATCCAACATTCATATCTAATTATTTTTCATCTCTTGAAGATGATGGAAAAGCTATTTTAAAAGAATATGAAATAATTTCTGATTTTCCTAATACTATTTTTAATTATGAAAGGTTTTTAAAAGTTCTCAATTTATTTTATCTGGATAATAGAGTTGAAGAATGGATCTATCTCCAACATTTTAATCAAAAAAAAGTATCGACCAATTAAAATAATTCATTGCTTAAAATATTTATTAAGGGCGGTGCCACTTTACATAGATTTGATTTATATATTTCTGACGATTATGCGGAAATTAAACCAGAAATTTTAAGCTTATTAGAGCAAAATACGCATTTTCTCTCTCGACTTCGTGTTCTATTTGTGGAAGTAATTAAATTACACTCTAATATAGCTGTTACATTATTAAGAATTCTGGCAAAAGGTGCTACGAAAATTACTGACTTGAAGATTGATTCATATTTTTTTGGATATAATTTACAACTATCTCAAGCATTTATATGTATTATTAAATCGCAAGAACAACTTAGATGGTTTAATTTTCTCGGAAATGAAACGCCTACAGAATTCTATGGTGTCGTTTTAGCTTTAGAAAGTCAAAAAAAACTATTGAAAGAAGTTCTAATAGATTATTGTTCTTATAATGCAGAGTTTAAAGTGCTAGAAAATTGTGAAAATTTGGAGGTTGTTCGTATTTCATATTGTGAAGATGAAGAAAAAATATTAAAAACATTAAATATTAGTCATTGTAAAATAAGCGCTTTAGAAATAAATTCTTACTATTCAATCGATGCATCGAATATAATACAAATTTTAGAAAAGTCGAGCTCTTTATTACAACGACTCAAAATTAATTCACTCGGGCAAGAAATCTGGTCACAATCGTTATTATTAGACACACTTATGAATTTCTGTCCAAATATTGTTTATCTTTATATTTCAAGCATTAAGCTTTCTGCTCAATTCTTGAAATTTGTTAACAATTTACAAAAGCTTCAATTTTTCACTTTAGATGCTTTAGGTTTTACAGATTGTGAAACCCAACAAGCAACTAAAGAATATATTATGCAATTTGCTGAAGTATTGCCGTCGACATTACAATATCTCGATTTAAGGAATATCCTAATAAGTTCGAACATTGATATTTTACTTAATCATTGTGATGCACCTTTAAAAAAATTGCTATTTAATATTGATTATGATATTGATTATAAAGAAAAAATAGATGCGTTAATTGGATTTTGTGTACGAAAAAAGACTTTGGATTGTGTGAACGTAGTCGGATTTATGGATAATAAGTTTGCAAAGAGGTTTGAAACTTCGAACGCATCCGATATTTGTTGGGATATAATTAAAAAAGATTTGGATGGATATGTTAGATTGGTGCCATATGAATGTATACTTGTTTATATGTGAGGTAGGCTTACGATTTATGAAATTTCCTATACTGTATTTTCACTAGAAGCTTTAGTTCATAATTCCAATAACTATGTACTTATACTGTAATAAGCCTTACAAAGCTTATCTCTGTTGAAGTATTTTAAATTGTGAAATTGTATCAATTTAAGGTTTCCAGCGCCATACTCAGTTTATTAATCGAAATGTATACGAGAGAATCTTAATCTCATAAATAAAAGTAATATAATTTTATGATACATTGATTTCCTTTTAGTTATATATTGGACTATAATCAATGTTTACGCCTCACCCTGCTGCATAAATTGTAATGGTAGTGCATAGCCTAAAGTTTTTAGCAACATCATAAAACGTGACACGAACAACGTGACATCGAATTGTGTAACAAAGTCATAAGACGAAAAAAATTCATCATTAATCTTTTAACGTATCTACCATCAATCTTTACAATTTTATTCAATAATTATGGCTACAAAATCACTAGAACATATTTCATTCCTAGCACGTTCACTCTATCGTCGATTATGGAGAGCGGGTGGAGCTTCAGTTCTATATTCACGTCCAGCGGTTAAATATGTACAGCAAAGAATTCGTGAAGGATTTGAAGAGTATCGACATGAAGTTGATCAAAGAATTTTGAATGATATTTTTGAACGTGGTATTTATTACTTTTTTATTTTATTGTTATAAACCATCAATTTCTCATTTCTAAAAAAAAAAAAAAAAAAAAAAAAAAAAAAAAAAAGCCGAAAATACAAAAGAATTTTTAAAAACATCAAGTCGAAGAAAAGGTCTTGAACATAGAGTTGTATATACTTTATGTCAGATGACATATATCGAAAATGAATATAAAAAAAGGCAAATAATTAATTTCTTTTGTTAACAAATATTTTTTTATCAATTACTCCAATGAAAAATTTACTATTCTCTGATTAAATAGATCTCCATATCATAGCAAAAGATTAAAGCCAGCATTATGGATCTATCATCAACAAAGTTATAATGAATATTATAGAACTTTAACAATGATGAATGACAGTTTGAAATTATGTTTAAGATGATTATAAACTAGATAAATTATTGATTTTTTTTTCTTTTTACTGATATCTAAATATCGTCAATATTGAATCCACATATCTCTTCCCAATTGATGACAACTGATGGTAAACATTATTCTACTGTATTTCCTGGTTTCAATGTATTAAAAATAACCTATTTTACCATTGTTGTGAGAGCAACGCACTTGTCTGATCGGTCGCATGATGTAAACGTTTAGTTTCCTACTTGTCCATTTGGTCCGTACGTACATGCGTGAACATCCTAATCAGATGTATGCGTTATCTCATTTTCATCAATCGTGTAATGATTAGCGTACGTACGTACTTACGAAGTACTACAAAGGTATTAAATATAATTAATTAGCTTAATCAGAGGATCAAACGGTTCACAAACATGTACGTACTTACCAGAAATAATAGTGTTATGAAGGATGTGTATGCTGTGTATATTTTACATAATCATGCGATTGATTTTATCTTAAATTGTACGGTGTAATGTGAATTTGTCTATATGATTTCTGCTAAGAGAAAACCAATAAGCACAATTTTATGAAAAATTAGTGCTCTTGTCATGTGGTACATGAATATGATATAAAATTTTCAGAGTTTAATTTAGCATTATATCGAATATCGTTACGTATATTTCACTATATACTAACAGTGTATGTACTGTATCCAAACCCAATACCGAGCCAAGGTACGTACGTTTGTAGATGACGACACTACGCCAGCACTTCAAACCCAAAAAAAGTACGTGGGTATGTGCTAATTTGTGTCACAATTGTATTTAATTTTATTGATTCGTCTAAAATGTTGTGTTAACGTGCATTTATAGTATATCAATGTACGAGCCCAGTTCAATTAACCACAATACGTATTGATTTTACCTTGATGCATCTAATACAGTTTATCATTACCGTTACAGTCGAAGGCTAAATTATCCAATAAGAAAATATCTATTATTAAACTCTAATAAAGAATAAAAAAAATTGGCTTTTTAGCGTGGTTAGCGCCATACTACATAAAATCGGACACATTTGACATACCTGATATTTCTATAATAGGTTAAATACCAATTAATAAAAAATTTACTCATTTTACTAAATATTGTAATTTTTCTTGTATAACGTCGTATCCGGTCTATTATATAATGTTACGTACAATCGTAAAAATGTTGTAATCTGTTTCGCAAAAAATAACATTAATCTATAATCTGCGACACACATATTAGAAAAATTTTATTATGTAAATTTATATTCTTTGAAGTAACTTGAAATTAAAAGGCTAAAATGGCAAATAATGAATTTAAAGATTTAAATAAAAACTTTATAAAAGATTCTGAACATGCATTTAATGATCAAGAAAAGGTCAATGATACAAAAATTGAATCGAAGGTAGAATCTGAAGGAGAAATTCAAAAATCGGAAGAAGAGATTCGGAAATCTGAAGAGGTTTATCAAAAATTTGAGGAAGAGGTTCATCAAAAATCCGAGGAAGAGATTCAAGAAGGTAATTTATTTCATTAACAAATTAAATTAAAATTATATGCATTAATCCAAGTCAAAAAAAATTTTTTAACATAAAAAACTTATATATATATATATATTGAAAGCAACAAAATCTTTATTCGAAACTTGCAAATTACATCTTCTCTTTATAGAAGATTCATCCGATAATGAATTTATATTGAAATTATTTAAATATTTTATTAAAATATATAATGAACATTATGAACCAGTCTATTTGGTTAATCTATTAACCCAATTTTTTAAGGATAATGATGAGAAACCATTTGAAATTTTTAATCAATTAATTCATCATCGAATGCAAAATTATTTTACAAGTATGATTGGATATTTTTATCAATTTGGAATTGGTACAAATATTAGTTATAAATTAGCAAATATATATTATGAACAATCTTTAAATCAAAAAACAAATTTAGCAAATAATGATTTAGATATTAATTTAAATTTAACAAATTTAGATTATTTAATTAAAAATAATTGGAATATAGGAAAAATTTCTTTGGCTCATTTATATTTTTATGGATTTGGAGTTATAGAAGATATGCAAAAAGCTTTTATTTTATATAATGAAGCAGCAGAAAATAATTATGGATTAGCACAATATTTTGTTGGAAAATGTTTTGAAGAAGGTTATGGAGTAGAAAAGAATAATAGTGAAGCATTTAAATGGTATATGAAATCAGCCAATAATGGATCACCACTTGGTCAATTTGGTCTTGGACGATGTTATCAACATGGATTAAGTGTTGATAAAGATGAAAAAAAGGCATTTGAATATTATTTAAAATCAACAGAAGGAGGTGATTTAAATGGACAAGCAAGCCTTGGCTATTGTTATGAAACTGGTATAGGAGTTAAAAAGGATAAAAAGAAAGCATTTGAATTATATACAAAATCATTTTTCAGAGCAGATATATCTATTACGCAAAATTATTTTTTGCGTTGTTATAGAAATTATATTGGAATTGAAAATAATAATAAGATGGCACTTGAATGGCATTTAAAATCAGCAGAAAGTGGTAATCTTATTGATCAAAATAATCTTGCGTTTTGTTATCAACATGGTATAGGTATTAATAGAAATTTTGACAAAGCAATTGAATGGTATTTAAAATCAGCAGATGGAGGTAATTCTAGTGGACAAAATAATCTTGCATGTTGTTATTTAGATGGTAAAGGAATTGGTAAAGACGAAAAGAAGGCATTTGAATTATGTTTAATTTCGGCCAAAAGTGGTAATTCTGATGGATACAATAATCTTGGATGGTGTTATCAACATGGTTTAGGAGTTACTAGAGATGAAAAAAAAGCATTTGAATGTTATTTGAAATCAGCAAAAAATGATAATTCTTATGGACAAGTTAATCTTGGATGGTGTTATTATGAAGGAGTAGGCGTCAGAAGAGATCGAAAAAAAGCGCTTGAGTGGTTTATGAAATCAGCTGAAGGAGGTAGCATTGTCGGACAGTGCACACTTGGATGGTGTTATCAAAATGGTAGATGTATTACTAAAGATGAACAGAAAGCATTTAAATGGTATTCAAAATCTGCAGAAGGTGGTAGTATTGAAGGACAAACAAGTCTTGGGCAATGTTATAAAGAAGGAATTGGTATTACTATGGATGAAGAGAAAGCGTTTGAGTGGTTTGCAAAAGCTGCATATGATAAAATTAACAATATTCGTTGGTTTTAATTGGCTGGTTTTAATTAATAAGCTTGTATCTATAGATAAATATGAGTTACTATAAAATCCATTCAAAATACAATATTCCTTGCAATATTATTTAATAAATAAAAAATTATTCATAACGATATCAAAATTATTTTAATATTTCTATAATGTCAAAATATAATCTCATTAAATCTGTATTCTACTAATCCTCCTAGGTTCAAATCGACCAAAGTTAACGTCAATTTATCATAAAGTTAATTCTGAATCTATTTAGTAGATAATTGTATAAACTGTAGGATTTTGATTCTTACAACAAAGATTATGTTTTAGCAGCTTCTGAAAAAGACCTTATATTAGCATTAGTTGTGCAGTAGAATAGTCTCATTGTGTTACAGCTTAAGTCATAACTAGCTAAAGCTCAAGTTGCAATCATTGGGACGATTCTACTGCATCATTAATTAGTATACAACTTTCAATTAATTTATTTAACTAACACATCTCGTATTGGAAAAGTCATAGAGAATTTAGCAATGTTCCGAGTTTTACTACTATTAAATTACAATACAAATAAAATTTGAGAATTGTGTTATATTTTAATATCAAGATTTATGAACATTTATTGACCTTTGCATTATATTTTATATTACTTATGCGTAATAATATAATGCTTCTCATACAATTATAATTTTTGACAGAATCTAATCCAGAGAATTATTCAGATCTTAAAAGAATCTCAACCATATTGTAATTTCAAGAACACCTGATATAATTCATTTTCTAAAATCTCAATATTCGATTATTTATGTTCAGGAGTTCGATGCGGATAAATTCATCAATTCTATACAACCAAACCTCTGAAAAACACAATTTTGGAATACATAAAAGTGTGCTTATAGAGTAACATGACAATTATAGGGGTTAAATTCATTATTTTTAATAAGAGCTCATTATTTTTTTAAAAAAATATATGCACATGAATTTGGCTATACAAAATTGACATATCGGCACATTTTAGAAATAAAAGGGTATTAACTGATTGGTCGGAGTAAGTCAACTGATCGATTCATGCAAATAATCATAGTTTAAAAAAATATAGCTACACAATAATTTAATGCATGATATTAAAAAAGTAATCAGTTGGAAATGAGATAATCAGTTGGACTTTAATTTTTCTATGAGATTCTTAATTTTTAGGGTATTTGTGAGACGGATTAATCAATTGATTATCTGTGTATTTATTATTTAAGGGGGTCTTTACTGCTGAGTAGGGATGGCATAAAAACGTTTTAAACAGTTTTTAACATTTTTTATTGTTTTAAAACTTTTTTTAAACCATCGGCATCTGATTTTAAAATTTGGCTGAAATTAAAATCATCGTTAATTTTAGTTTCAGATAATTTATCGTTATGAGAAATTTTCAAAAAAACGATGCTATATGTATAATTTCGAATTTATTATATTTAAGAATAATAAAATGTATTTGATCGTTTAAGAGTTTAAATGCATAATTTTGCCTATCGGCAAATACAGCTTCCATTGATTTTAAATGCATAATTGCCTATCGGCAAATACAACTTTCATTCTGTACTAGTTTTACATTCGATAGTATTGAAATTCAATGTGCAACTACAAACTATCTGCACATATTACTGCTATTTAAATCTCATTGAGTAAATTTTTGAGAATGAATTATTTAAAGACTCTTTTTGTATTAATTATTACTTTTATCGTCATTATCAAACCAACAATCATCCTTAAAGTCTTTCCGAATTCTCAAATTTTGATAAACAGTTACTAGTTTTTTAACCCGTTCATTGTCCAACCATACACGAGTTTTATTATGGATAAATCCGAAATTTGACCAACAACGTTCCACAGCAGCTGAAGATGCCGGAATAGAGAGAACCTGGTGCAAGTTCAACCACAAAGGGAAATTTATTTGAAAAATTTGATCGCCACCAACTTACTGGGCTTGAATAGTTAACTGAAGCCCAAAGTAATAGCCCAGAGAATTCATCAGTCTTTGCAATATATTTTTGAATTACT